ATATAGGTACATCCCGTTTTTCTAGGACTATCCTGTATAGGTAATAATCCTCCCTTTTATCCTGGTTATTAGAAGAAATACATCCCATTTTTATACCTGTCTACCTATCAATAATTCCTTTACGGAAGAATACATTTAAATTTCCCGGGGATTTTCAATGACGTTTTCTGATTGGTTAATGAAAGACCAATGAGAATGCGAAATGACACGGATGTACACACAAAAAAGGCCTTATTTTTTTTTACTATAGTAAGATAGGAATTTTTCACACATAACCTGTCAATAACTTTCCTTCAATTGAATTTATTATATTTAATCACGTCGAGGTCACCAAATTGATGACCCCGACGTGATTTAATATGATAAAATAAAATTTAAATATGCATCAAGGCTCACCTAGGCTCAAATAGGTCACCTTGACGGCGACGGTGCGGCGCGCGGCGTCAAGAAGTGGCAAGCTCCCTCCTTCACGTTTTAAGAAATGATACCTTGACATAATGCTGATACTTCTTGACGTCTCAGTATGTTGCGCAATTACCTTTACGTATGAACCTTATAATAACAACATTGACAACGCCAGTCTTATCCCGACAATACTGATTTAACATTCCATTCATATTAGTAACATTACATCAACATATGTCAGCAAATAACAACATTGCTTTATGATATCATGCTGAGTGGGGTGCTCCTGTCAAATTCTTTTCATACTGGGCATAATTAGCAAGAGTCGCATCCTACCCGCATCCTACGCACGTCGCGTCGTCGTGGAGAGGAAACGAAACCTCTCCAACGCGCGTAAAAGACCCACTCAGCATGATATCTTAAAGCAATGTTGTTATTTGCTGACATATGTTGATGTATTGTTACTAATATGAATGGAATGTTAAATCAGTATTGTCAGGTGAGACTGACGTTGTCAATGTTGTTATAAGGTTAATACGTAAAGGTAATTGCAACATACTGAGACGTCAAGATGTATCAACATTATATCAAGGTATCATTCCTTAAAACGCGAAAGAGGCAGCTTGCCACTTTTTGACGCTTCGCCGACGCCGTCAAGGTGACCTGTTCGAGCCTAGGTGAGCCTATTTCGAAACCGGCAGCAGGCAGATCTAAAAAACCGTGTTCAAATCGTAATTACCTACATGTATTCATTTGTTATTTACTGTTATTTCAGTGGTGGAGTAAAGTATGCTTGGGCATTTTTCAACGGAAAAATTGCGATTTTATCGGCGATAAAATCGCTAGGATCATCAACATCTCAGCGATTATCCTCGGTCTTCTCGCGATTTTATTGCGATTTTATCGGCTCGAAAAAACTGCGATTCTTTCGCGATAAGATCGAGGATAATCGCTCAGATGTTGATGATCCTAGCGATTTTAGCACCGATAACATCGCCAAAGAAGGGATTAACGTTGTTAGCCGACTGCCGTTAGGTTCCGCCGTCAGGTCCTTTGACGAAGTCCGGCGTAAAATCCCCGGAGCCTCCGCGGGGATTCGAACCCCTATCGCTACGGCGGAAGGCCAGCACTGTGCCACTAGGCTATGGCCTCTATATGCCTAACGAGTGCGAATTGAAGCCTCTTATACATGGATCGGCGCTTCGCAACCTTACAACTTATGTCTTTGCGTTGACTGACACCGAGTTTTCATTGGATTTTTTTTCCCTTCCCTGTATTTTATTTCATACCTTGAAATACGGTTGGTAAAATAAGGTTCTATTGGTAATCTCATCATTCTGTCTCTGTAAAATTACCAATAATAGTGAGATGGCAAAGTTAGGTACCGATGGACCTTGGTAAAAACGCCAATATTTATTATCGACTGTGGCAGAATTACCGAGATAAAATGGTGAAGTTACCGAGAATGGATTACCAATAAAAGTGGTATTCTTACCTGAAAAAATCAGTAAAAATACCGGTTTTTAGGTACGCTTACCAGTCTGTCTTTGTAACATTACCAATAATTGATAAAAAAAATGAGATGGTAAGTTACGAACGGACCTTGGTTAAAACGGCGGCGGCGGTATAGAACATCTTTCATAAAGCGTCATTCATGCGTTAGTGGGCGTTGATGAAAAATTGCAATTTTATCTCTTTAAAATCGCGTTCGATAAAATCGCGATTTTATTGCAATTTATCGCGATTTTTCTCCCCATTATATTGCGATGAATCGCCGTCGATAAAATCGCGATTTTATTGCAATTCATCGCGATTTTTTATCCGATAATATTGCAATAAATCGCGACGTCGATAAAATCGCGATACATTCTTCGATTAAATCGCAATTTATCGCGATCACTGCTACTTGGATGGTGGTATAGTGATAGGTGTAAGGTGTTTGTGGCTTATGAGTAGTCATTTTCAAGTGGTGATCATTGAGTGCCGGAAGTCAAAGTACACGTATTCTAAACTGCTTATAATTGCTTTACGTTCGGTACCTACTAGCTCATTTACTTGATCTAAGAGTAAGACTGATCCAAGATGTCTGACTCTGACTGGTCTGCTCTGTCACGGAAGTCGAGGATGAGGAGAATCAGCCGAGAGATGCCTTTAGCCATTGATATGGTTGCTCAGCAAGAAAAGTATAACTTCTCTCATGATGCAAATATAATGCAAATGTTTACTTTTTTAGCACGAAACTAACGTACATAGTTTTTCAATTTTATTGAATGTATGTAATTGAAATAAACAGTCATAACTCGTATTGAACATTTCGTAACGTGCTTATTTGGTTTTATTGTATAAATTTTGTATGATTTTGTAAAAAATTTATAATTTTGTATCATTTAAATGAAGTGATGCCCTTCTCATGAGCATAGAAGCTAGAGAGGAGAGAGTAGACAGCAGCAGGAAAGGGAAGAGGAGATAGCAGCAGGGAGGGAGGAGAGTAGATAGCAGCGGAGAGGATGGGGGTGGGGGAGGGGGAATACCATATTCTGGTGAGGAAAAATTAGTAAATATCAAGGTGGATATAATGTTGTATCCAGGTTATGTAAGAAATATCAACATTGATGTAAGCTTGATAGACCGGCAATCAAGGAGATGTCAAGAAGTGTCAACCTGATAACAATGTTGACGGGGGCATATCAATATTATGTAAGATGATTGTAATGTTACTTCAACCTTACTATCAATGTTGTTGCAATGTTCAGGCAAGTCCCTGGCAGTAGCACATCAACATTGATGCAATCTTGCCTTATTCTCACTAAGATGGATATAATATGGCTGCAATGTTGATGTGTAAGATGTGTAATATTATACTAAGATTGTATTAGGGTTCTATGCTGAGTGGGGAGGGGTTCAACTCGTTCGTAGTTCCGCGAGAATCACCTCTCAGAGAGGAGGTTCAACGCGTATCACGGCGACCTGACTAACGTACATGCATGACTGCTAACGTGAGCAGCCATGAGTAAAATTATTGTTTTACATTTCATTTAGGCTTGTTGATTGAAGATAGGTACACGGAAAGAGACACCTTCCTTGTCTTATTAGGTGGTCATAAAAAAAAAAAAAAAAAATCGCACTTCCACTTTTCAAATTTGGCCGCCATCTTGGATTTGGGGCACTTCTGTCGATCGGAAGGCTTTTTCGACATGATACATGAAATCTACAACCAAAAATTCATAGGAATAAATACAACTCACTCGCCTTTTCACATAAAAATCTAAAAAATGCACCCTCCTGTCTCTCAAATTTAGCCGCAGTGTTGGAATTAGAACACCCCCTTTCACCGGGGAGCTGTTTTGATATCATTCATGAAATTCACGATCAAAATCGCAGAGGTAATGATACCGCACTTACCCAATCACGTAAAAGTTGAAAAATGACCATCCTGCCTCTCAAATTTGGCCGCAATCTTGGATTTGGGGCACCCTCTTTGACCCGGGGGCTTTATTGACTCTTCATTTATATGAAATCTGCGGCCAAAATTACCTAGGAAATGATACCTCACATGACAGTCTGGGAACATCTTAAAGAACGGAAATCCCTTACGGCCTTACAATGGCTGCCATTTTGAAATTTAGGCATTTTGGGTGGTGTTCCAGGATCGAGCCGTGATAAACTTTTAGTATGTTGTTCAGGAGGACCTACTGATGACGGTTATACAGGAAAAGTTTGTTAGGTATGCAATTTGCTCCGGGGTCAACCCCTATTTCTCCCCGACTAGACTATCAATCTACTTCAAATTCATAGCAATAGATTTTAAAAGAAAAAGCCCCTCCAATTCTCAGATTAGCAATGTACAAAGACTTCAATCCAGTGGCAATAATTAAAACCCTTCGAGCGAAATTAATGTCACCCTGTGCTACGCACCTACTTGATTTGCACTTACAATTCATACCACAAGGTCCTTATTTTAAAAAAATTATTTTCATTCTGTATGCGCTAAATACATTTCATCGATATTTCAGGTGGAATAGACTGTTACAACTCAGAGCAATATCTGGAGTCTGCCATATCAGTTCCCAGAATGCAGTACCATCCGGTCGTGCCCTATTCTCATGTAATGACGTCTTCCTGCGCCTTTCTCACATCAGGTATCGAAGCTGTCTCAGTGTCTTAAAAGTGTTTGGTGGTCATAGTTGCGAATTGAAAATTTCACCGGAAAGTTTCACGTGTTTCATATTAAATTTCATGAAATTTGATTTTGGCCAGAAAGTTTCACAATCAGTGAAATATTCTTATTTTAATAGAAAAAATGTATTTAAAACCTTAAAATCACTGTCAGAGCTCTTCTGAGTCATATTTTACCTTAAATATACTCATTCGGAGGCTTTCACTCATTGCGAATTTCATTTTTTTACAGTTTCCGCCCGGGCACGACAGTCAGGAGTACCTAACCTAAAATTTTTTTTTTTTTTTTTTTTTTTGCTGGTTTAGTGGCTTATATTCCGTTGGAACCTACAGCCATCGATAGACAGTATTTATTGTCCTTAGACATCATGGGATTTAGGCACATCCATGCTCCAGGCTTTCAAATTTTCAGGGATTAAGGCCGAGTGGAATCTGTTTCTGCAGATCCACTCGTCAGTTCCATGAAAATTTGTCGCCACCACCGGGATTCGAACCCGGGACCTATTGGCCTAGAGTCAGCCGCGCTGACCACTAGGCCAACCTGGCCGGCAACCTAAAAATTGAAAAAAATTGTTTTGATGATTGTGTTGGCGCATAGAGCAAAAAAAGAAGGTGTTTGCATTTCGAACATCCTGGACTTTTTTTGATGACGTAGGACGGTACGACGAGGTTTATCATCGATTTTCTTGGAAATGGTGTAATTTAAGGGAAAAAGTCGTGCTATAAAAAGTGCTTGATATTAAATCATGAGTTGATTTAAGCAAAAAAAATCGGACATTATGGCCCGTTTTTCATACTTCGAATTGCGGATTTCGCTGGCCAGGTTGTACCGACCTACGTCACAGGGTAAACAAACCTCAAGATGCAAACACCTCCTTTTTTATCTATGATTTTGGTCTTAAATTTTTCACAATCTTCAAAAAGCGAGGAGTGTACAAAGTTTCCCTAATCTAGGGGGTAATTTTGAACACCTCTCATTTTTTTAAAGATAGGGTGTGGCAAGAGCCCCCCCCCCCTACATTTTTGACATAAGAAGGTTATTTGTTTTTTGTTTTTGTTTATTTTTTGAAAAAAAAGAAGGAAAAGCAAGTTTCCGTATTGTTTTTCAACTATTTTTTTCTAAAACCCTTCAAATGATAGTGATAAAAACCAATACCAACCCACACAAGTCAGTTATTGTCATTGCATATCTTTTCGGAGTTCATCTCCCTTCCCCGCTCGACATCGGCCCTCTCTCGGCCGCAGCCAGAAGAAATGCACTGCATTTGAACTTCCCGCCTCAATGTGCAGAAGGGTCTCAAAATTCATCCACTAGATCGCAGAAATGGCCTGGATACACACTCAAATTTCCATCAATTTCCGATCAAATGGTGACTGGTGCGCACCATCTACCATCAAATTTTTGCGGCCTGCAAAAATTTGACCGCCATTTTTGTCATAATTTTGATCGGAAATTGACGGAAATTTGAGCATGTATCCAGGCCTAAATTAGTAATGACTGATCTGCGTGGATTGGTCTTAGTAATTCGTCAAGCTCAAGTGACGTGGGCGAACTGGCATGCGATACATCACATCGATTAGGCCAAAAATCTTGGCAGATTTGGAATTTTTAGTAAAAAAGAGGGAAGCTAGCCCCTGCGAATAAGCCTAAAGGATTAATCTAAACCCAAAAATCGGCAAAAGGACGACGGTCCAACCTTATGGAAAAAAGGGCCCGGTTACATCGGCTGATTTTTTGACGTTGTAGGTCTTGACCTACTGACCAAAAGTGTCAACGGCCGTTTCTTCCAATCTCAAAGTTTTACACCCCATTTTGGGGGTCAAAGTTCAAAATTCAGCGTATGATATGTAGTTATGACACCCGGGTTCATTCGTTGCATTTGAGATTATCTACTGTTTTGTTGAGTCTATTCTATCCTGTGAATAGGCTAGAGACAATCCGAATTAAAAAAATGAACCACGTTGCCATATACGGGAAGGGGGGGGGTGTTGTTGACGCCACCAATTTCAGCGTCAGCGAGTCGCGTTAAACCGATTCCTGCGCCATGTATTGAAGAATTTTTTATGCGAATAATTCCGACTACATCTTGGAAGGTTCACCGAGATGCACACCAGAATACATCCCTTGGAAGGGGGGGGGGAGTGCGCGACCGAATTGGAGCAGCGAAACTGGCTTGCGCGAATCGCATCAAACCGATGCTTACGCCATGTTTTTGCAGACTTATTTATGCCAGTGAGGCCGACTGCATCTCGGTAGGTCCACCGAGATCCTTCCTACTGGCAGTTCGTCAGCAAAAATTTATCAAATCCTGGAAGCTCTCACTGGATTAAGTGAGGCGACCTTGCTGTGATTTTCACTTATTCGGGAAAATTAAGGGGAAAATGTTGATTTTTGCTAGGTTATGGAAGTATAGAGTCAACATGGCAACACTGTCACCCGGCCGCTCGGGGTTGTCGGGCAAGGCAACACTCAATATTCTTTCTGTCATGGCGTCCACCTGAATGGTGTCTCTTCCTTGTTGTCGTCCTTTTCACCAAGACAACATATGGTGTCAGGTGCGGGGTCTTTAAATTTTTCGTAATGCTCTAGTTGTGGTTTTAGCCTTATTTCGTTTTCGTATTATTCCGACATGTTTTTTAAGTATTTTACCCAAAAATTTTAGCTCGCTTTCTCGCGCCGCGTCTTGTGCCCAAGTGGCCTCTTTTCGGTTTTCGTCTAAGTCCGTCACGTCAAATCAGTCCTTTGTCCTGTCGTGTCAACTAAATAATGGTCTGTGTACATCGTCAGTGCAATTCCGTAAAGTCAAGTATGTCTTCATCCAGTCAGGTCAATCAAACTGATTTCGTCTCACCACAACGTCAAATCTAAGTCATGTTAGCCCTGTCTTCGTCAACTCAATCGGCTCAAGCCAGTCGTCGCAACCATGTCAGGTCCGTCATTGTCGTCTTAATCAAATATTCTCAAAGTCTATCACATCCGAGTCTGCCTCGTCTAAGTCTGTTACCTACATCCAAGTCTGCCTCGATTGTCAAAATCCAGGTCTTTCACGTTAAATCAGTCCATGTCTGTCACGTTAAATCAGTTCATGTCTGTCAAGTCAAGCTAATTCCGTCTCAGTCAATGCGTCAAATCTAAGTCATGTCAACTCAGTCTCCGTCAAGTCAGCAGTCACATCCACATCTGTCGAGTCAAAGTCTAGTCTATCTCGTCATAACCTCAATCATCTTGGTCTACTGTCAATATTGCAAGTCTAAGTTAATTTTCAATGTCTCTTGTCATTATGTGACTGCCGCAAGACACCACGTATTACTGTATTTTACAAATCAATTGCCAGTCAAATTGATTTGAAAGATATCGGTCCATTGCTGAAAGGCTCATCTGCACGTCAGTCACTTAACGTCCTTATCGTCTTATCAGCCAATCACATTGTCATTTGACATTTGTCAGTTGCATGGAAAGAATCTACGCTAATTTCACCATCTTTTTATTTGCAGCAGGTCTTGATAAGGAAACTGGAGCCCATAAAAATGCTTTACTACTAACATGTATGGGCAGAAAAGCCATGCCAGTTTTCAAGTCCTTCGACGTAGAAGTCAGTAGCGTTCAGCAAAAGACGCTCATTGCCTTTAAAAGCCATTTTGAACCTAAATTAAATGTCATGGTCGAGAGACTCACGCTATTCAATCGTAGACAAAAAGCTGGAGAATCCTTCGAAGATTTTTTAACCCATCGTAAAATCCTCAGTAAAAACGGCCAACTGGCAGATCTGAGAGACAGCATAACCAAGGATCTATTTATAGGCAACATGTCCAGTGAAAGCGAGGAGATCAAAGTTGAGCTGTTAAAATCAACTGAAACCTATCTCGCCAAGATTTTTGAGTCGGCGCAAACACTTCAAAAATCCAAAGAGAACTCTGAAAAACTTGCTCAACGCAACAAAGAAGAGAATTTACTGGCGTCATTTCCCGACATCTCGTCGGTCAGACAGCCGTTCTCCTTCCCACTCACCCTACTTCTCACCGGCGCTCTTCGCCTTATCGTAAAAGAACTCCTTATCGCCAAATGTCACCATTTCGGCATCATCGCCAGTCATCTCCCCACACAGAAGATCATCTCCCTACAGGAGCTCATCTCTTTACAGAAGATCATCACCGCACCAAAGGTCGTCACCTCATCGTGGATCATCCTCGTATAGAAGCTCATCGCCCTTTTAATCGTCGTGAAGATCTAGCGTGTGAAAATTGTGGTCAGCAACATTGCTACAGATGTCCTGCTGAAAATGTGATGTGTCGAAATTGCGGTAAAAAAATCATTATTCTAGATGTTGTCGTATCGACAGAAATGTTTCTAATTTAATCTTAAATAATTCTCATGGTAATTCAAATTCTGATTATGATGATCAAATCCTATTTTGCGGTCAAGTCAGTGCTGCCCCGGATCAGTCGGATGCCCCTCTGGCAAATGAAAATCATGATTTTCCAACAATCGCAGATGTTTTCGAAATTAATGCTCCTCTAGGTACCAAAAAAAAAAAAAAAAAAAAAAAAAAAAAAAAAAAAAAAAAAAAAAAAAAAAAAAAAAAANAGTGATCAGTTACTAATTGTGTTTCTGAATTATTATCTACTATTTCAAAATTGGCGAGACGCACTGGTTTGATAAAAATGCAGAGATTAGTAGTATGCTGATTAAAGCTGCTATTTTGGTCTGTTCTGCAGTAAGCGCATGTGATAATTATAATAATAATAAAAAAAAAGGCATGTCGAAGCTATGTTCTAGTTTTGCTCCGCTGTCAGCACCGCGTCTGCAGGCGCAGTGTGACCGAGCCGTCATCACAGTACAAAACGCCTTCAATCTAGCAAGCGGCAATGTGGACATCCCCCGTGGAGTAATAGTTCTATCAAAAGCGCCTTCCACGATCGGAGTCAAATATTGATGAAATGCGCGCGAAAACCCCGTTTCTCC